TTCACCGTTTCCTTTTTACTATCATCCTTTTCTTCAATTGTTTGTTGCTTATCACCGTTTTCTCTGTGTTTGGCCACCCTCGCCGGCGGCGTCGGAAAGCAGAGACTGTAGTAGGACATTGACTCCTGGACTGATCTCCGCTTGAGCTGCTTCTCCGTCAGCTGCTCGTTTACTGACTCAAACTCCTCTTGGTGATGATGAGGATTACGATGATGGCCTGCAGCGTAAAAGTCAGAGTACGGTCGTTGACGGGTGAGCAGCGGTCGTCGAGGTCTCATTCGAACGGCCGGTTTTTCAGCAGAGGCATCCACTAAAACTAACTTCTGATTGAGAAGGTTTTGATTGTTTTCCAGCGTTGTTTGATGTTGTTGGTGTTCTCCTCCATCGGTGGTCGTTGAGCTGTTGTCGCCGCCTCCTGTGGTGGCCGTCTCTTCCGAGGTGATTAGATCTCCTTCATCGGTGGACAATTGAGTGGAAGAATGTGATGGTGGTGGTGGCAAACTGGTGGTCATCAGGATTGAGGGCTGTGGTTGCGACTTTGCTGCTGCTCCCGTGTCACGACCAGATCTCAGTCGACGAAAGCTGGAACTTTTTGAAGACCTGATTAGCTTCTTCTTTGGTTCCGCCTCTGCCGGCGACATTGGCATGCCTGAATGGCTGTCCTGCTGCTGCTGCTCAAAGCACAGAGAGATGGACTTTTTGGGCTGCAGCTCAAAGTCAAACTCCACCTGCGTCTGCTCATCCTTTTGCTGGGTGGTCTGACTGGCTGTTGTGGTTGTGGGTGATATACAGTGGTGCTGGTGGTGATGGTGTTGGTGGTGCTGGCTGATGATGAAACTGGTCTCCTCCTCTTGATTGTGGTCATAACAGTCTGAGCTGTTGTTGTTGTTGTTGTTGTTGTTGAAGTTGAAGTTGAAGAAGGGAATGGCCACTGCGGCGTGTCGTGTTCGACAGCCGGGCAACATGCCCTGTACGGTCACCTGCTGCCAGGTGCTTGATTCTGTAGTGAAGACAATAATTAATTAATGAAAATTGAAAATTGTACAACAACCGAACACTTACCGAATCGGTATCGCCACAACTCGGCAATAGCCTGCCCCTCTCCTCGTTCTCCACCGTAAATGAACATCGAGTCGGCGACGACGATGGCGCTGTGACAGCACAGCTCGCCCGGATTCTTCAACGTCTTGATGCGACTCCACTTTTTGGTTTCTGATTTTAAGTGGAAGGTAGGAATGGTTTAGATAAGTTATCTAAAAACCTCTCTTTCTGTTACTTACTGTAACTCCACGACCAGAAGTCACTCCTCAGCTGAAGGTCGGTCATGCCTCCGTACACGTACATGGCGTCCTTGTACACCACCGCCGAGTGGTTGTGCCGGCCTGGCGGTGTGGCACTTTTCTGGTAACGGTCGCCTTCCTGCGTCCACTCTTGACGTTCTGAAGGTGGAAAAGATTAGTCATTTTGAACTCATTTTTTACTCAGAATCTTAGCCTTACCTAAATGAAACGTCCACAGCTCCGAGCTGGAGCCCTTAAAGTCCTGGTAGCCGCCGTAGACGGACATGACGCCCGCCCGGTGGTACAGCACTGCACTGTGCGCCCGTCGACCGAGTGGCTGAGCTGTGACGCTGCTGCATCCTCGAGGTGATGACCGGCTTCGTCCTCCGTTTGAAGCTCCGTGTGTCACACCACCGCCAAACTTGCTCCACCGAGCCGTGGCCAGGTCGAAGATCCACAGCGGCGTCTCGTCGCTGGAGAAGCCCACCTGACCGCCAAACAGGTAGAGCTTGTTCTAAAGTTTGAAAAATTTTTAAAATAAGGAATTTTGGTTTTTTAGTTTACCCTAGCGGCGACAATGGTGTGCTCCTGAAGCGCCGGCGGCGGCTCGTACTTGTTCTCCACCAGCGCATTTCCTGAGTTTGGTGAGTTTTCTGCCGAAGATGAGGCTGAAGATGAAGATGATGATGATGATGAACTTGAGGAATATGAGTTGGAAGACTGCGCTGAAGGTGCTCCTCTTCCGTTGCATTGTGGAGTTTGTGCTCCGTCCACCCTGGGCACCACCTCCTCCCAGACGTCCTGGGCGGTGTCAAAGCGCCACAGATCTCGCAGCGGCTTATTCGCCATTGACCGTCCGCCGTACAGGTAAATGTGCCCGTCGGCGGTGGTGCACATGGCGTGTTTGGAGCGCACCAGCGGGCAGCCGGCGCCCGTCAGCGCAGAGGTCGCCTGCACCTGACACCACATTTTTGTTTCAGGTGGATCTGTATTTGAAGAAAGAAAAAGGTGTAGTTTTTTAGTACCATCAATGATCTGGATGACACATCACGGTCAAACACTCATGTTCATCCTTTCACACAATGACTCTTACTTATCACCCTGTCCCACCCTTTCTTCCTCACTATACACAAACATTTCTCATGTAAGCACACATTGTTTACACTATAAAAAATCATCTACCATTACGCTCACCTTTAACTCATCTCATCTATCCTTCAAGATCATCCAGCATCAGTAAACGGTTTCAGCACTACAGTGTTTGGTTTTAAAGTAAACAACTTTTTTGGCAATCATTTCATCTGATCGACCCATATTACTTTCTGGTTTCTACTACTGACTAATACTACTTTTAGTCCCTTTGGACCTGCAGGCTGCTGCCATTCGGATTTATCATTTCCATCGGTGAGTGATCATTTGATCTATTTTCATATTTACAACACTGCTTTCCTTATTTGGTGTTTTTGCCAAAGCGCATTAGCGAAAACCTTTTTCCTTAACCGGAGCTTTATGTCAGTTTTTCCTATTTTGAGTTTAGGTGCATATACTGCACATTTGCTACTGCTGCTGCTGCTGCTGCTGCTGCTGCTGCTGTTTTCTCAGAAAATCGGTTTCCACTCTTGAGCTAATCCCCGAGGGAAAGGCAAAAAGGGAAAAGTTAATGTGTGCCATCAGCATCACAGCATCACAGCAGCAGCAGTACCTTAGAACATGAAAACGGTGTTTTCGTGTTTTCACTACTTTTTCCCATTTTTGCATCAGTGTAATAGCCTAAAAGCAGCAACAGCAGCAGCAATGGCAGGAAGAAGGCATCTAATATAAATTCCGCTCATTGCTGTCATTAAAGGGAGAATATGGCTCGAATGAAGATGTTAAGGTGCGTGGAATGGGGTAACATTTTGCGAGGGAGCAGCCTTGTGGGTGGTAATGTGATGGCAGCAGCTCCCAATTCTAGAGCGAACCCTTCCTGTCATTACCGTTAGTTGCTGTAATGCGTGCCCGTTCACTTCCTGTCCTGTTCTGCCTGGTTCACTGTTTGTGCAGCAGCTTTCTATATTCCCTCTTCTCTTGTTTGCATGTCAAGCGACGCGTGTCAGCCTTTTTCGCCCTTTTCCCCCACTTCTTCTTCTTCTTTTCATTCTCTAATTGCCTTGTTCGGTTTGAAACGAGCCTTTTCAGCGTCTTTGGAGGCAGCAGCAGCGGCAGCTCTTGACGATCTGTGCTCGATCTTGCTTTCCTTCTCCTTTTTCCCTCTACTACAGCTTTAATTAAGTTGCAATAAAACAATAGTGAGACATGCCAGTTAGGAGGAGGAGGAGAAAGAAGATGCTGAAAAGCACTAGAAAAGTCTGTTCTAGTTCTCCTCTCCCCGTTAGCTGCTCTTCAAAGCGGAAATGGACGCCGCGTGTGCAATTTCCGCTGGCGACTTAATTGAATTGAGTCGCTAGTGCTGTTTCAGTGTTTGGGCTTTTGGCCCGAGTGCAGTCAGCTAAAGTCAGTTGCCAAACTCAGCATGAGCAGCAGTCTCAGCAGTTTAGGATGGCACCGGTCGACCGAGCAGCTGTAGTTGTTTGCTGGCTCTGTTTGGGCTAAGTTTGGGCGCCATGTTTGCATTTGCTCATGGCGCCCAAGTGGCAGGAAGAACCAAACGGCAACGACCAGAGCAAGACACACTGCCAAATTAATCTCAATTTGTCGGACAGATGAACGGGGGGGGGG